GGCACTCTCAGTAGTCAGAGACAGATTGGCCTCTGACTCTTCCCTAGAAGAACAGACCAGTATTCCAATAGATAATCTGATGGAGATGTTGACTTTCTGTACACAAACAACACATTTCAGAATGGGATCACACATATATCGACAGGATGAGGGCTTAGCAATGGGCTCGCCATTATCACCAGAAATGGTGAATATATACATGGAATACTTTCAGGAATTGGCATTAGAATCTATATCTCTAAAGCCAACTATATGGTTAAGGTACATAGATGACACCTTTATACTCTGGCCACACCAGGAAGATGTTCAGGTTTTACTGGACCATGTGAACTCAATAAGACCTTCGATACAGTTCACAATGGAGAAAGAAATTAACAATACACTCCCATTCCTGGATGTGCTAATCTCTCAAACAGAGCCTGGATTCAAGACATCCATATACCGTAAACCGACATTCACCGGACAGTACCTCAATTTCAACTCCCATCATCCATACAGCATAAAGAAAGGTATCGTCCGCTGCTTACAACACTGAGCAAAAGTCATAAGTGGCAACCCAAAGACATTAAATAAAGAATTGGTCAGTATAAGTAGTATCCTACAACGTAACAACTACCCTGGGTACATGGCAGCATCCTCAAAAAACTGGGATAGATGGGTACAAGAGGAGGATAACAACACTCAGAAAACAGTCTGCCTACCTTCTGTGAAGGGGTTATCAGAGAAAATACAAAGGATCTGCGGTCCATATAACATCAGGACAACCTTCAAAAGCTTGACGACACTTCACAGATACCTCTCCCGGGTAAGACCCCACAATGCGGAGAACATGACTAAAGACTGTGTGTATGCTATCCCGTGCAGCTGCGGAAAGAAATATAAAGGGGAGACAGGCTGCCCCCTTAAGGTAAGGCTTCAAGAACACCAGAAAGCTGTAACACGAGGGGAAGTGGAAAAATCAGGCGTGGCTGACCACATATGGAGAGAGAAGGGAGATCACCGCCCTCTGTGGGATCAGGTTGAGATCATAGACAAAGAACACCATTGGAAAATTCGTAAACTTAAGGAATCAGCACATATGCTAGGCCACAAAAATCTCCTGAGCTGACCAAGCATAGAAATGAATACAATATGGGAACCAGTAATAAGGAGTGCCAGAGAAAAAAGATAATAACAAAAAAATATGAGCTCTGGTAAAAAAACATGCAATGATAACAGCAAAAATTGCAATATGAGCACTGGTAAAAAATGGTTGCTGAAGACATTAGGTTTATAATACCCAGAAATTCATACACAGATGTCGTTAAGGACACATCGCACAGTGGATAAAGGCATTAGTTAGATCCAGTGACACGACCCAAAAGAGTGTGAGTTCAATACCTGTTTAAGGCAATGGAGAACTTTCAGAGTGAAATTAACAGGACATAACTGATAACTGACATCCATTAAACATGGCACGTGGAACTAGAACAGTGAGCGAAATCAGTTTGACATTCCAACCACCTGAAGAAAGCCGGAGTGTACAATGGCCGAAATGTTGTAATAAATATGGCGACAAAGATGAGGACAATAGTCCGAATAATGTACATAATACCTCATCTCAAAAATATAGAATAAAATTTTTTTTTTTTAAATTGATTTCTGTTTTATTATTTAACATCATTTTTAATTTCACTTTATTAAGTTTAGATTTTTTCATAATTATTTTTTTTTTTTAGTTTAAGACTATTCATTAAAAAATAAGGAATAAACAAATTGAAAAATTTTTAATCAGATTTGTAAGTTCTTGATATTAAAAAAATTTTTAATATTCATTAATTAAGTTTAAAAAAATCTAATTGGTTTGGTATTTAAATTTTTTTCTTTATAAGAAAACATTTAATATTCATTGGCAAAAAAACCAGTATTTGAAAAAATTGAAATTCAAAAAATTTTATTTTTTTTTTAAAAAAATAAATTTCTCAAATCCTGTAATGTTTTTTTTTTTTTTTTTTTTTTTTTTTCCTAACCTTTTATTTGAATGAAGATGTTGACCTCAACATTTCAGGGAAAAATAAAAACTTTTTTAACAAATGATATTTATTTTCTATCATAGTGATTGAAGGAATGCTGAATTTGCATTAATAAAAAATTCTGATTGATTTTTTGGCATTCAAAATATCATTCCTCTTTAATTTTGTTTAAATAAAATCAAATTTAATAATAATTTGTTTTTGGCATTTGAATTATTTAATAAAATGCAATTTTTTTCCATAATTTTATTGTTATGGTTTTCATACATTTTCAACTTGTATTAATATCCTCTAAGAAATAGCAGATTTTAAAAAAAATTTTTACTTAAAAAAAAAAATTCAATAAAGCAACATATTTTATTTTAAAATTTGAATCATAATATTATATGCAATATTAAATTTCAATTTCTAATTTTCATTTTCTCAAATTAAAAAAAAAAACGACCTGATATTTTTTTTTAAAATGAGAGATTGAATGTAGAATTGTAGGGAAATATCAGAAAAAATTTTTTGTTGACCATTCCTATTGGTTCAGTTGTCTTATCAGATATGTCTTGTATATCGAATTAATAGAATAATGCTTGAATAACACTGAGATAAGCTATATAATTTTTTAACATCAAAATTTACATCATTGTATTAATACTTCCTTAAGAGTTCTTTAAGTTTTTTTTTTTGTTTTTTTTAAATGATCAGATCAAAAGATTAAAACTGGCTGATCAATGTGATAATAATAAATTTCAAAAATTTGAAACTATCATTTTTTGAAAAGATTTGTTTTTTTGACATTTTTTAACAAAATTATTTTTGCAACAAGATCACCTGCTGATGTAATACATTTTTATTGATGAAAGACATTATCATAAAAATTTAGATAACAATTTTTTTTTCCTGTTAGGATCTTTTGGACATCTCAAAGGCATTTGACGAAATTTATATACTGGTCTTCTTTCACAAGTTTAAAGGTTAAAAATATTTTCTGAATTTTTTTGAACTTTCTTTTTTCTTATCAAATTACAAAATGAAAGTTGTCTTGAACAGTCACCCTTCTAGATTTTTTTTGCATCAATGAATGTTATACAAGGTTCTATCCATGGAAAAACATTTTTAATTTTAAGAATTAAATGACTTTTTTTTTAAATGTCATTTTCAGTTCTCAATATGTATGACTTTTGATGACACCAACTTTTTATTCCTGTATTTAATAAAAGTTTAATTGATTTGATAAGTTCAAATTTTGAGCTGATCTCAAAATTGACAAAAAAAAATCTAATCAAAAATAAATTAAAGAAATAAATTTATTAACCAAAAATCCTTATAAAACAAATCTGATTTCTATTAATCATTATTCATAAGACCCTTTTACCTTCCATCAACACGGCTAATGTTAACCTCCAGGAAAATTTTTTTTTTAATCTTATCAAAATAACATTCTTTGCTGACATTTGAATTTGGAAAGATTGGATCAATTGCTAGAATTTAAAAAGAATATTAAAAAAAAATTTATAATTGTATGAATTTTTACATTTTTAAATCCATAATCTATTTTATATATTTATATGTCTTATTTGTCCATGTTTTGAATATTTTGCCATATATGGTCTGGTGTTCCTGCTATATATTTAGAGATTCTTGATAAAATTCAAAGAAGAATTTGCAAAAATTATTGGTCCTGACCTATACATTTTTTTTCTTCAGTTATGGTAATTATTCTGAAAAATTTTTTTTTATTAATTACCTAGACTTCAAAAATTTGCAGTTTAGATTTTTTTTAGGTCTCATCATTTACATTTTGAATTTGACGTTGGATGTTTTTTTTTCTTTTTTTTTTTTTTTCACTAATTTCCAAAATTCAAAATTTTTCTTTTTGAAAGATTAAATTTAATCTTCATTTTTTTCAAGTATTCAATTGTTATCTTCTGTAATTTTGTTTTGATTGTTATTCTTTTATATGTTTTTTGTTTTTCTTAATTTTGTTTTTTTTGTTTTGGATTATTCTTTCATGCTCAGTAATCCCTCTTGAAATACAAATTGCCTTGCTAAAATTGAAATGATTTAAAAAAATTGAGTTATTGAGGTTTATCTGAAAATAATAATAAATTCAATTGGACTGTTTATTTGATTAGACTAATATATTTTAGACTACATAAAAAAAAATACCTGCAGTTGAAAATTTGGATGATTAAACAAAAACACAATGCTTTTTTTTTTTATATGTGGCAAACCCAGATTCAATTTATCAGTGGCTTATAAATCATTCTTCAGCTGTTTTATCCCCAGTTTTTAGAAATGGGGATCAGTAAGAGGTATGAAATTGACATGACTTTTAATGATGGTTTGGGGACTAAGTTTATATATAAACTGGTTTTGTTTTTGTACACAATCTAATTTCTAAAAAAAGAAAATATATTTTTCTTTAACTTTTTATTGGAATAATAAAACAATGACACATAAAATGGATTTTTTAAAGTGACATTTATAACATAATCTATTTTTGAAGATTAAAAAAATTCCTGAGTGCAGTTCATATTTCCAGCTCTATTTTTCAAGTTTTTTTAAAAAAATTTATTTGTTTCTTTAGTTGAATGAATTTCTAGTATTTTCTTGTTAACTATGTTTCTTTCTAAATTGGATAATTGATCAGCATCTTTTAAATGTTTCTGTGTTTTAAAATCAAAATTTTTCATCAATCTATTAATTCCTATTTTGATTCATTTTTTTTTTTTATATTTTTTGATTTTGAATAATTTTTAGTATGTCTATTTTGAATGAATACAAAATCAATAAGCTGACCTAATGCAATATAAAGATGAATTAAAAAAAAAATGTAATGTTTGTTTTAGATTCTTCTTCTTATCAAATGATGAATTACTTGAGATCTTGTCTGAGACTAAAGAAATTTAATTCTTATTTCTATGCAACCTGCATCTCAAGAAATGCTTTTTGAAGGAGTTTAAAAATTTCAATGATGAACTTGGAATTGAAGGCATGGTCTCTGTGGAAAAAGAAGTTGTTCCATTTGTACAACTAATTTATCCTGCAAAGGCCAAGGTAATCTTTATTTTCAGTCTTATTTTTTAAATCTGAATCCTAAGAAATACAAACTCTATTACTACTTATTTGAAATGAATGAAAATTATTCAAATGCCTCTTTTGATTTTCATTTTTCATTTTTATCTCAAACATAAGAATTTCATACAATTAATTTTAATAGATTCCAATTTTCTATTTATTTTTTTTTATTCTTTATTTATTTTTTCTTTAATGCTTTAACCTAGGCAAAAAAAAATCAGTATATCTAAAGGACATTTATAATCCTTCACTAGTTTCTATTGTTTTATGGAACTGTTTTTAGAATTTTAATAATATATGAAATTGGATTTATACATTTTTCTCAAGAATTGACAGCAAGAAAGTTAAATACTATTGATTTATTCAATTGTTATTTTACAAGATTATAAAAGAAAAATATGAGAACAATAACAGTATTTTACCAGAATATAGCATTTAATTTGTGAACTATAACAATAAATTATTTATTTACAAGATTATAAAATATATTTGAAAATTATAATGAAATATTTATTATTTATCACATTATAAAGAAATAATTATTAAAATAAATTTTTATTGATAAGATTATAAAAATGTCTGAAGTATAAAACAAGAAAATTTAGATAAATGCATAATGACAAATACTTGTAACTATAAAATTTGAATAAAAGCAATTTTTTGGAATTTCTTTTTCAATTGCTCTTGCTACAAAAAAATCAGTAAAATAGGTTGAGAAAAAAGATATAAATTCACTTTCATATGTTGTGGTTTTATTACAATTTTAAAAATAACTTTTTAAAACGATAACTATTACTAAAGGAGTATATAGTACTAGTCAAAAGAAAAATGTCTTTTTGACACTTTTTTAAATTATTTTTGGTAAGTCCTATGTTAATTTTACTGTTGGCAAATTTGACCAAATGCAGTGAAGATGGAAGAATAAAAATTGCTCAGATCAGTATTTAAATTACATTTCAATGAACATAAAATGTTTTATTTTACAGTCAATAACAATTAACAGTGTTTAATGTGTGTGAGGTTTGGTACTTACACTTATTTATATTTTTTAACTTTGGAATCTTATTCTGATCGGTTCAATGAAATTGTAAAAACTGTTAAACCTTAGTGTGAAAGTCCCATTTCATAACAAGAACACAAATACAAATCCCAGGAATTTGATAGCTTAATTCTTAGACAGTCTTTCTGGATGATGTGCAGATTCTGCTCTTTGTTACAAACTGTTTTTAGTCAATATAACACTCTAATATTGCTTTGTCTTTTAACCCGTATTAATGTGATTGTATTGATAAAGGATTTTGCTATTTATCATTTGTAAAGTTATCAGCTGCCCAATTATACATTATATTTATCATCATTGAAAAGGAAAGGCTGTCTAAATTTAAATTCTGACAATACTATAATTTAATAAAAATGAAAAAAGGTTTTTCTTAATGGCCAAACTTCTTGCTTATTCTTAAACCTAAATTCTATAGTGTTATGGTGGGTATTGGTCAAGTATTTAGGTCAGAAAACATGTGTCTTCTGGTATGTTTATCCCACAACAAAATGGCAGATACAGTCTGTGAGTCCAGGTAATAAATGAATAAAGCAATGACCAAACTATATATATAAACAAATGATAAGTATGTATTAACAAAACAAGGTTATACATAGACAAAGCAGTGAATATGAAAGAAAAAAAACAAACATTTAAACTAGTGAAGATGTTGGTGTAGAAGTCCTAAAGAAAAATAATGAAAAATAAAGTTAAAGGTGCTGGCTTGGTGTGGGCCACATTTTTCTAGACAGGAAAAAAGAGGATGACAGAGAATATTACTTCTGTTATAGACAAGCGTATGGTTGCAAGAAAGAAATACAACAGCAGAAATAGATTTATGTGATTTATTTCAACAGGAACATGTGGGATTTGGGACAGCTACCTTGTGGTATAGTTCATAGGCCGGCTAAAGATCTGGGTTGACCTCTCATAGTAGTTCTCGCTGGTTGGCGTGGTGTACTGCTGCTGGCTGCTGCTGACCGCTCAGCCTGACCGTGACAGGTCTCTTCCCTGGCCTCCTGTTGACTACTGTTGTACTTCTGTGTGACTCCTTTTATGGGTTTTTTTTATGGCTTGACAGGCTCGTAAAACGACGCAAGTATAATTAGGAGGGAAGCATTTTTATTGGTTGAAAAATAGAAACACTTTAAAATATTATTTTATTTTTCGACCAGAACTCGTGTGTCGGGAATATGTGTAAATGCGTAAATATGGTCATTTTGGGGCTTTGTCACGTTCACATCCGGCTCTCGCTCTTGAGTATGTTAGTTTATTTGCCTGCAAATCAGCTGAGATATGTCTTATTTTATTTTATAACAAGGCTCCCCCAGATCTCGGTCTGATTTACAGTGAGTGTTATTCGTGCATATTTGGGTGATTAATTCATGATAAAGTCTCTGAAACGTGTAGGAAGTTGTCCTCGTGTTCTTATTGGCATTTGTTTTGGTATGAAGTTATTTGCTGAATTATGTGTCCCAGAGGGATGTGGAGGAGAATGATCCTGGTGAGTGTTACATGGTGGAGGCAGAGGGATTGAATTAGATAGATGTGTTGGATGTGGAGCCAGTCGTCGGATATGTGCACGGTGAATCCAGATTGTATCACCATTATTGTTTTGCACCTGACACATCATATTGTTCGTTTTTATAATGGTGTAATTTCCTATCGAGGGCAAATGAGAGGATTGGGCAACAGTTGAGTGTGGCCGGTGAAGTAAAACCTTGTCGCCTGCTTGTATTGGGTCCTTGTATGTGAGGTGATTTCAGTTAGTCTCAAGTTTGTGGTCAGCTTCATCGTTGGCCAGGGTGATGTGGTGGTGAACCTGCTTAGCAGGGCATTAATTTGCATTCCATATGCTCCAGGATCGTCACTTGTGATTTCTTTTCTGTGTAGTCTGGGTAGGCCGATGTTGGGGTGACAGCCAGTAATGGCATAGTGCGGGGGAGACACCAGTGACGCTGTTGGTCGTGGCATTCATGGACGAAACGACAGATTCTAGAACGTCTGTTCCTGTCTTCGCATAACATATAAAGTGCGTTCTTCATCGTGCGATGTTGTCTCTCGATATTTCCTGAGCTTTGCGGGCGCCAAGGACAGTGAAGTTCTTGCGTGATTGACATCTGGTTACAGAATTGTCAATAGACTTCTCCAGTGAAGTATGTGCCTCGATCAGAGGATACTATGCGTGGAATCTCTCTGTGTCGAAGGAAGAACTGGTACAATCTGCGGGCAGCGTCGATAGCACGGTCTCTCGCACATGATATGGCTGTAAAGTGTCGGCTGAAGCTATCCAAGATGGTTAGGATGTAGCGTTTTCCCTTTGAGTTGGGCATTGTGACAAAGTCTATAAAGACGAGATCGAATGGTCTCTTTCCTCGTTTGCAGTGGCCAATGGGTCAGTGGGTACGTCTACCGTAGTTGCCCTTGCACTTAGCACACGTGTCGCAAGAATCGATATAGGCCTTGATGCCGCGGTTTTTGAGTTCCCACCAGTAGCTGGAAAGGGTTCTACCTAAGACGCCCAGTTACAAGACCGGAATGGTCTTGGCGTCACACCCCCATAGAAGTAGACTCGCCCGCTTACATGAGAGGCGAGTGGGCTACTTAACAAGACATTCACGGCAACGAGTATCGAGGCAGATACACGTCGTCTCGCTGCTACCTTACATGGCGTCGCCGATATAGGAAACCTGCTACAAACAACGTTGGAATATGGACGAACAAACACAGCAGACATTACTTCGACAGCTCATCGAGCTACAGCAAGAGATCATCGCCCTGCGAAGAGACGGAGGACAGCCGAGAAAGTCACTTACAAGGAGACCCGACAGACCTAATATAGAACCGGACTCAAGTGATGGTGACTGGGCGATATTCATTGACTCCTGGAATAGATACAAGGAGATGTGTGGGTTGACGGAGCCAACAGCGTTAAGAAACGAGCTGAGAACGGCCTGTGCCCCAGAAGTGAACAGGCTGTTGTTCGATATGGTAGGAGCAGAAGTACTAAACTCCGTCACGGAGGAAGAGCTGTTACGACACATAAAGCTCGTAGCCGTCAGAAGCCTACACAAAGAAGTGTACCGGCAAGAATTCCACTCCGTAAGGCAGAAGGAGGGGGAATCGATTACGGACTTCGTGGCACGACTTCGATCAGTCGCAAAATTCTGCGACTTTTCAGTGACTTGTCCGAACGGGATAGGATGCGGTCGGAAAGTCAGCTACTCCAACGATATGGTAGCAGGACAAATGGTGGCTGGGCTGGCAAACCTGGAGCATCAAAGCAAGGTGTTGTCTGAGGCTGCGACACTTACGACACTGGAAGAAAAGTTCAACAGGCTTGTCAGCCTAGAGACCACGGACAAGTCTACACCCCATCTCCATAGTAACGTATACCCTACTACAACGAGCACACAGAGATCGGGCCGCAGGCAGCGGCCTCGGGAGAACCAGACCGTATCAACCCTGAGAGACACTGAACCCTGTAAATGGTGTGGGAAGAGCTCACACCCTGACGGCTCGAATGAACGAAGGGGTTGCCCCAGCAGCAAAGATGACTTGTCACAATTGCGGCTTAACCGGACATTTAAAAGGGGTTTGCAGGAAACCGAAGCAGGGGTCCAGCAACAAATCTACAGCGGGTGTGGTCGGAGCAGAATCCAGAACTCTCACCACCCAAAGACACAAGAAGGGTCGTAACCGGATGATCGTCCAAGATGGACAAGTGAAAAGGAGAGGTGAAATCAACCTGACAAAACCAAAGGCCGTGCCGCACCTGATTTGGAACAAAAGTAAGTTCCGAAGAGGTACTCCTGATCCAGCACCAACCCTGATGGTAGAGATAACTCTGATTCCAGAGGCCCATGCGGAATTCGGGCACATATCCATAGGACAAGCTGGCCTCCATACTCACCGGATCGAGGCGATCGCAGACACTGGG